TGCGCATTTGCATAAATGTCTACACACACACATACACACTACACACAATAAAAAACATAGGAAATAGCAAGAGTGATTACAATAGTTCCTATTGCATTACATGCATAGGAACTAAAAAGGCATGATATTAAGCACATTTTAATTTTTTTTTTAAATCACATGTTTACTGATTTTAGGTTAAAAAAAGGTGGTATAGCCGTATTAGTCAGTGTATACTAATGAAACAAATGAGAAGGTAGCACTTTTTTGACTAACGATGAATTTTATTTTACAAGCTTTCGCCCCAGTTAATGGGGCTTCATCAGGTGAGTGAAGTCTAACACAAGATACAGTCATATACATGGACATCACAAAATGATATGATTGGATAAAAGAAAAAAAATATATGATAAACAATATATCTTGATTGGATACAAGGAAGAAAATATTTCTAGTTGGCAATAGATGCTAAGTTCTAGCTGGAACAATGAAGGTGTAAAAAGGTGTTAAGCACCGTAGCTTCATAATGGTTTATGGATAAATCGTATAGATAGCTCTTGTAAATATAAGAAAATAAACATAAAAATAAACATGCTGTAAAATGTAAAACGGAGTCTATCCGTAGAATATAATATATGTGGAATATCTATAAGGCCTATAAGTCTAATAAATGCGGCATATAAGGTGCACACAAAAACATTATTAGATTATTATTCTTTTTGTTTTTTAATTGGTGAGGATGGGAAGTTTTGTTTTGTTTTTTTTTTTTTTTTTGGAACAACAGAATATTGCCTTTTTAAAATTTTAATCGATGAGTGAGAGACTGTTTTTATTTGGCAAGATATTTTAGATCGTTGTATAAAAAATGGTTTAATTTTTTTTGTTTTTTAAAGAAAATGTATGTATTTCCAGTCACAAATTTGCAGTGTTTTTTTATGAAAATGGTCGTGCAGTAACTTGAGTCATTAGAGAGCTTTTGTTATCTTGTTTGAGAAATTCACAGAGGAAATTTCTCTTTCCTAACCAAAACAATCCAACCAACCACGCACTTAGAGTAGAATCTACACTGTAAAAACAACGTGGAGGATTTTAACACAAAGCTCGAAGCGATGTTGTCCAATTTTCTTGCATCAAAAACCATCAAACGTTTCAAACTACACGCAGCTAGGTTAATGCAAAATTACTGTGAAATAATAAACAATAACGACTAACTTCTTGCACAGTAGGAATAAGACGTTATTCGCACAGTACAGCGTGAATAGTCTCTTCCATAATGTTATGAACTGGTCTCTCTACTACCTTTTGCATGCAATACTAATTCATTTATTGTAAGAATGTATTGACTTGACTTGTGTTATATATTAGAATATAACAACTTATTTCCTCCTTTTTAAGTGCCAGCTTGTCATTTATTTTTTTAACTTTGTTCAATTGTTGAACATTTCTTATCACTGGGAGATCAGCATACTTGGACAAAATTTATGAATACACTTCATAAAAAAGCTCCACTGACTTTAGGTTGTGCTGCTTTTGTGTGCAATTGTTGTCATTATCATTTGTTAGTTACTGACCCGTACCAACTGTAATCTTTAGGTAGTATTTGGTATTTTCATATCAATATATGACAAAATCATATGCAAAATGCCACCACCCATAAACTGTAAGGTAATAATGTAGATATGTTTTTGCTTTAGTTTATTAAATCAAAAAAATTACCCATAAGGCCCTTAGAAGGTCATTTCACTTATGTTTATGGTTTATAACTCCTATCTTATACAATCAATGACAGTTTACAGTAGTCTCAGATTTCGTGTAAAAAGAAATTATTTCAATACAAAAAATAACCAAATGCAAATAAAAGAAAATTATCATTATTATTAATACGGATTACACATTAATGCTCCATGACCACCAACAATAAAACTTTATAGGATTCTAGCTTTAAAAGTAGTCATTTATATACTGTAACTATATTGTTTACATGCTTTTATTATCACAGAGATACTATATCATTAGCATACTTTCACTGTGAAGGAAATATATATAAAAAAATAATATATTTCCTCCATGCTTTGACAAATATGTTTCATTTCTGCTTCACTTATTTTAGGTTGTGCTTCCTTTGTGTTTAATTGTTGTCGTTCATTATTTGTTAGTTACTGACCCATACCAATTGCAATCTTTCTATAGTATTTGGTATTTCCATTATGTGACGAAATCATGCAAAATACCAACGCCCATAAAGAGTTTGTTGAAATAATTTCTAGCAATGTTTTTGCTTATTTTTAAATAGTGTTCTTCAGACAGATTACCCATTTAAAACATTGTGAAAATGAGCTTCAATGCCATGGTGGCTCCGATCTCATATAAGGTGCACACAAAAACGTTATTAGATTATTACTCTTTTTATTTTTTAATTGGTGAGGATGGGAAGTTTTTTTTTTTTGTTTTTTTTTGTTTTTTTGGAAGAACAGAATATTGCTTTTTTAAAATATATATATATTTTTTAATCAATGAGTGAGGGACTGTTTTTATTTGGCAAGATATTTTAGATCATTGTATAAAAAATGGTTTAATTTTATTATTTAAAAAAAAAATGTAGGTATTTCCAGTCACAAATTTGCAGTGTTTTTTAAGACTTAAAATAAATGAAAACTAAAATTCCAGCATAAATATTTCCTAAGGGAGTGATAATCTTAACATTTATTTTTCTACCTGCCCTAATGAATAGTAGTCTCAGATTTCAAGTGTTGAAAAAACTGTTGTAAACACAAAAAAGATGATTATTATCTGTATGACATTAGGCTAATAGGTATTCCCATCACATAGGGGAAGGGGCCTATCTTTAGAATAGCTTTGTTAATGCAAAGCACCACCTCTACCATAGGCACCACCACCACAATAGGGTTGGCAATCAAAATAGCATATTTGGAATTTGGATAGGCATTAAATTATTTTTCCCATTTTTGGGTTGCTGGACGACAATGCCCTGTGGGTCCAGCTGCTTCCCCCTCCACCCGGCTGGAGGGGGGGGGGGAGTCCAGTTAGTAGGATATTCCAGGTGATCAGAAAGTTGAGCAGCTGCACAACCCAGGTTTCCTAAAAAGTAAGGAAGAGGTTATTCGCACGGTACCGATTCGCACGGTACCGTGCGAATTAGGAATAAGAACTTATTCGTACGGTATGACAGCCGTTACGTCATGAAACCTTAAATGCTGATTGGCTAGGTCTACCGTGCGAATAAGACTGTTAAGAGCTAATTCACACGGTACCGTGCGAATTGTCGAAACAAATTTATTCGCACGGTAGAATGTTGGATAGATATACTGTATGATAATTATTTCACGGCATACCGTATGAGTTGGGCACAGCACAGACAGTCGATTCGATCATGGAGTTATAACTCCATGATTCGATAACCCTAACTGAAGTGCAATAGGTCCTAGCTTAGCATTGTGTCTG